CATAACAATTGTAAATATTTATGCCCCAAACAATGGAGCATCTATGTATATTAAAAAAAATCCTTCTCAATTTCAAGAATCAAATAGACCACAACACAATAATACTGGATTACTTTAACACACCTCTCTCACCACTGAGAACCTCCAAACAAAAACTAAATAAATGAGCTATATTCCTGTCACAGTGGCTTTAAATCCCATGACTTTAATCCCATGACTCAGGAGGCTGAGGCAGATGGATTGATAGTTCAAAGCTAGCCTCAGCAACAGTGAGGAGCTCAGGAACTCAGTGAGACTTTGTCTCTAAATAAAATGCAAAATATGGCTGGGGATATTGCTCAGTGATTGAGTTCCCCTGAATTCAAATTCCCAGTACCCCCCCAAAAAAAGCTATAGAACTAAAAAATACAGTTAATAATTTAGACTTAACAGACATATATACAGTATTTCCTCCATCCATGACTGAATACACTTTCTTCTTAACAGCACATGGATCCTTCTCTAAAATAGACCATATCTTAGGCCAAAAAACAACTCTTAGCAATACAAAAAAAAATGTAGAGATAATATCTTGTATCCTATCAGATCATAATGCAATGAAATTAGAATCGATAAAATACAAAACAAAAGCACTATAATACCTGGAGACTAAATAATACACTATTGAATGACAAATGAATAGCAGAAGAAATCAAGATGAAATTAAAAAAAAATATTTAGAGGTAAATGAGAATAGTAATATAACATATCAAAATCTCTGGGGCATGATGAAGGCAGTGCTAAAAGGAAAGTTCATTATTACATTGATCTTTTTCATTAAAAGAATAAAAATCCAACAAGTAAATAATGTAACATGACATCTCAAAACCATAGAAAAAGAAGAACAAATCAACATCCAAAGCAGTAACAATAAACAACAATAAATGTTGGCAAGGATGTGGGGAAAATGGTACATTCATACATTGCTGATGGGACTGCAAAACCACTCTGGAAAGCACTGTGGAGGTTCCTCAGAAAAATGGAAATGGAACCACTATTTGACCCAGTTATCCCACTCCTCAGTATATATATCCTAAAGCATTAAAGACAGCATACTACAATGACACAACCACATCAATGTTTAGAGCAGCACAATTCACAGTAGCTACGCTATGGAACTATTCTAATTGCCTTTCAACAGATGAAAAGATAAAGAAAGTGTGATATATATAGACAGCCATAAAGAAGAATGAGTTTATGACATTTGCCAATAAATGGTTGGATCTAGAGACTACCATGCTAAGTGAAATAAGCCAATCCCCAAAAACTGAGGCTGAATGTTCTCTCTTGATATGTGGATGCTAACATATAACAAGGGTGGGGAGGGGAAGAATGGAAGTTCATTGGATTACATGAAGGAGAAAGAAGGGAAGGAAGGGAATAGGAAAGACAGTAGAGTGAATCTAACCAAAATTTCCTATGTACATATATAAATACACCACAATGAATCTCCACACGATGTACAACCACAAGACTTGGATCCTAATTAGGATGATATACTCCATGTTTGTAAAAATATGTCATAATATACTCTACTGTCATTGATAACTAAAAAGAACAAATAAAAAATTTAAAAAATTGAGAGGGGGAAAAAAAGAGTGATAACAGACTTCTTATTAAAAGTGCAAGCCAGGAGACAATACATAGAGCATCATCTGTAAAGTACAGAAAAACAAATGTAATTTTACATCCACATGAAACTAAAGCAACAAAAGACACTTTTCATATATATAAAAGCTGGAAGAATTCCTTACAATGTAGCCAAATGAACCATAAGAAGTGAAGGGAAGCCCTTAGGCAGAAGGGAAATGATAGTAGATGCAAGCAGGCCTCTGTGCAAAAGAAAGCAGAACAATGGGGTTGGTTACTGAAAAGGACTTCCCCTTCTCCTGCAGTTTTTAAATCACTTTAAAAGGTATTTGGCTGTCTGAAGCTAAAATAGTAACAATGTATTTGGCAGTTTATAACCTGGCAATTTTGGAGGTAAAATGTGTATGTATGGTAGTAGTACAAAAGCCAAAGTGTACTGTCAAGGTTCAGTACACATGCATAGTGGTGTACTGTTACTTGGAGGAATATGATTAGTTAAATTTTAAAATTTTTCAGCACAGATACCACATATGTACACCAAAAAAAAAAAAAAAAAAAAAAAACAACAGTAGAAAAAGCTTAGGATTTGACAAATTCAGGTGGATAAATTTAGGAGTTAATAATTGCATCTGTTCTATATAAGAAATAATTCCTCATACATTGGCTCTATTATAATCCTAAATATTTGGTTGATTATATGTACACACATAATATTAATTTCGAATAGTAAAACCTAGAATTTTTTTTTTAACACGTAACTTACTTTGGGTATAGTTGGGTATAACTCCTATAAGGAACAAGAGGACAATATGAGCTTGTACTACAGCATGTATCCCATTGAAAGATGTATAAACAACTTTTTTACCCTCACTTGTGCTAGGCTTTATTGTTTCAAGGAAGCAAAGTGTATAAACAATATAATTCCCAGCTCAGGAAGCATTGTTAAACTGAAGAAAAATGTGTTGGCCCTTCTTCTCTGCCCTCCCTTTTATTGTATACAAACTTCATACCCCACTCTGGCAGCTTACCATGATCTCTCCTCTTTTGGTGAATGAGAGAGAGTGTGTGTGTTTTCCTGATATTCTATTTCCTGAAAAATGTTCCTTTCTTGGTAAGTTGCACTTTATTCTCCATTGTGATAAATATTAACTATAACGTTACAGCTCAGTGGAGAGCTACACATTGCTCTGTCTGCTCCACACTCCAGCTAGCTGGAAAGGATAAAAGGACGGATGATCTATTTCTTCCATATATTTGGTGGTTTTGTTAGCATATTTCTTATGTGATAGTAACATCAGAAAACCTAGAGTAATTGTATAGTGAGGAAGTGTGTTGACTCTTGAAACTTGCATTTCAGAGGTAGGGGGAATTCAGAGTTGTGTCAATCAAATACAACTTCTTTTCTCTTAACTTTCTCCTCTGTTCTCTTTTCTTTGTTGATTTTATCCTTAGACTGCTTTCTTCATGGTTGCTCTGTGGCTATAACAGCTCCTAGCTCTGTGATTGCTTCATAGTATTCAGAGTTGTTTTCCAAAGCTATCTTGTAGGAATGGGGAAGTTTCTTCCCCAAAATTTCTTCCATGAATTATTAGTCCAAATTGTGTCTTATGCCTGTTCCGACCCAAGCCCTATGATTGCAGCCCTGCCATATCTGACTGGTTTAGGACTGATTTGTTCACTCAGTCACAGGAAAGGAAGATTACCCTTAGATCATTTTTTCCTCTGGATCCTGGAGTTGGGGGTTAAGGGATAACTTTCCCTGAGGCACTAAGGTAAAATAGGGAGTGTTATGAAAAATTGGATTTCTCTCAGGATGGGGAAAAGTAGAATTATGGTAAATAAGTAGTCAGTAATGCCTACTTCATTTGTTTTGTCTTTTTTTTTTAATGTGATTTTTAAGGTCAGTAGAGAGTAATTAAAAATATATAAGTTTTAGCATTTAGTGCCTGCTCTAGCACTTGGCCAGGTTCCTTAATTCCTGCTTTAAGCCTCAGTTTTCTTGTAGGAATTTTGTAGAAATGAAAAACAATGTAAGTATGAGACTTAAGTGATAGGAAGTACTCAAAAGTAATTGTTATAATCTTTTTTTGTTTTGCTTTTAAAATTATAAACAGTGACATAGAAGTGCCCTTTTTTTTCCTTCTGAGGCTTATGTCATCCCTAGATTATTATTAAAACTAGTGGACAAGAAAATGTTCATTAGAGAATCTAAGTGGTAAATATAGAGGTGTTTACCATAAAATTTTTTCATAAAAATTTTCTGAAAATTTTCTTTATAACATTAACAAAAAATGAATTTACAAGAATGATAATGTTATAGTAAAAACACCAAAGGTGATTCCCACAAACTGGAAGCCAAAATTCTTCCTGAAAGCATTAATAAGTTTAACCCAAAAGACATTTCAGGTGAATTTCTAGAATGATACTGCCTTATTGTTTCTCAAGCATACTATTTCTTTAGGGGAAATGCATTGCCTACAATTCTGGGTTTACTGCGTTAAAATTGCTTATTAGTTTGACTATTTTTTATGAACACCCTGTAGCTTGAAAGGATAATGAGGCATATGTGAGGTATTCCTAAAAAATACCTGGAGGTACCACTCAAAAATAAAGGATTTGAGGAAAAGTTATTCATAGAGGAGGGAATCAGAAGAGCGACCTTTATTAAATTCCTATTATACATGTGCCAGAGGATCTATGATTACAAGGATAAATAAAATATCTTTCCAAACTTAAGTGTGCTGAAACCTTAGATCAGAAGCCATCTCTTCAGTAAATTTTTACTGAAGTACATGTGTCCAAGGGCATATTGGAGAAACACTTGATAATTCTCATGATCTTCCAAGCATCTTTTAGGTAGAGTTATCAAAGAGTTTCCAAAACATGCATTGGAGAAAAGATAGCCTCTTCAACAAATGGTGCTGGGAAAACTGGAAATCCATATGCAACAAAATGAAATTAAACCCCTATCTCTCACCATGCACAAAACTCAACTCAAAGTGGATCAAGGACCTAGGAATTAAACCAGAAAATCTGCATCTAATAGAAGAAAAAGTAGGCCCTAATCATCATCATGTGGGATTAGGCCCCAAGTTCCTTAATAAGACTCCTATTGCGCAAAAATTAAAACCAAGAATCAATAAATGGTATGGACTCAAACTAAAAAGTTTCTTCTCAGCAAAACATGAGATTAGTTTTCATGTTGTTTTTATACTAACCTCACTAAAATTTGATAAGAAACCCAGACTCCACCTCCAAAAACTGGACACCTTCCCCTCAAAAGCTTTCTTCAAGGTGGTTACACCTACCCAGGAAAGGGATGCAACAATTATTCACCTCTTCCAACTATGTTTTTTACTGTCATCTTCTAGGAGTTACACTTTGGCATTCTTCTAAACAGAGAAAAGCCAGTCTTTATAGTAACGCGGTTTGTTATGGTTTTGGAACAAGGTGTCCCCCAAAAAGTTCCTGTTAATGCAGGAATATTCAGAGTGAAATTACTGGATTATGAGAGCTGTAACCTAATCAGTCCATCCTAGTTTGAATGCACTCACTAGTTGGTAACTATGGGCAGGGGGAGGTATGACTAGAGGAGGGTCACTGAGAGTGTGCCCTGAAAGAGGGTACATCTTCCTTGTAGCCCCTTCTCCTACCAACTGCTTCCTGACTCCTCCAAGAGCCAGGCACTTTTCCTCTGCTAGGCCCTTCCTCCATGAAATTAAACCCTGTGCTGCCTCACTTTGGGTCCAGAGTAATAGAGTCAGCCATCTGTGGGCTGAGACCTCTGAGACCATGAGCCCCAAATAAACTTTACATCCTCCAACTTATTCTCAGTAGGTATTTAGGTCATAGCCATGAACCAGCTTTCAGGATTAAGATTGGGTGTCTCCATCACTGTCTGACCTCTCCTACAAACAGTCCCCACTTCTTACTCTGCTTCAGCTACAATGGCCTCCTTGTTCACTGAGCATACATGGTGTGATTGCTGCCATATCCTTTGCAAGGATGCTTTCCTCTAGTTTTTACTCAATCTCCTCCTCATGAAGCCTATTATGACAATCCTGTTTAAAAATCACAACCCTTCTTCAGAATTCCTCATCTGCTTTACCCTGCTCTTGTCTTGCTCATACCACTTATGATCTAATGACATTCTATAAAATTTACTTATCTATTGCTTCTCTCCACCTGCTCCAAATATAGGTTTCACAAAGACAGTTTTTAAATTTTGTTTTTTCACTGTTACACCCATAGTGCTTAAATTACTGGGTGCAGAGTAAGAGCTCAATGCCAATTTGCTAAATGAATAAATGATGAACATATATAATGAATATCAATAAGCAAAGAATTTAATTTCATTGAGAAGGCAATACTATGTTGCTTCTCACAGCAGCTGATTAATATAAGCATTATGTAATAAAACTATACTTACAGGTGATAGAAGTGGAAGATACTTCCAGAAATTACTAAGGGTATGCTTTGGTAAATTTAACTTGTCTAGACAATCCACAATGTGGGTGTACAGGGTATAGGGATTAGAAAAGGTCACCAGTGGGTCACATCTGTAGTTGATGGCCAGTATGATTTGGGCTAATGCTCTGGCAAATCCAGTTCTATTGGGTCAAAGAACAATTTCTCTCTTAATGTGGTAAGAACATTTCCCCCTATAAAACAGCCCATTCCTTACAACGGAAACAATTTTAGGTCTTTGTAAGTTAGATAGTTTTCAGCACTGTATTGTTTAGTTTGTAAAAAAATAAAAAATAAAAAATATTTGATTTAGAATGAGTTTGTGGCCTGATGATGTTTAGAAAAGTGCCAAAGTGTAACTCCTAGAAGATGCCAGTAAAAATCATAGGTGGAAGAGATGAATAATGGTTGCAATATTTTCCTGGTAGGTGTAAACAGGCCTAAAAATCCATCATTACCATTTGTGAAATATGCCCCTAAGAATAAAGTCAACTGGTATTCTGTGAACTCCATTAAACATCAAAATAAAATATCTCCTAATTGAGTCACTGTCCCACTGTGTTTATATTGTTACAGAAGCCCTGTTTCATCATTTTGTCTTATTGCCAAAAGCATCAGTAATATTTTCCCCACTTTTAGTGACCTTTTTTCCCTTTGAAAACCTTGAACATAACAGGTTTTTCATTGTGATTTTACTTTGATATCAAGCACATTTCTGTTATAAAACAAGTTCTTATAAGCTGTTTTAAAACCTCAGTTCCTAAAGTACCTCTTTTAAATAAAATCTAAAGACCAATATAACGTGAGAAAAGCACATTTGATAAAAATAAGAAAAAATTTTTTGAGTAAAATATAATAATCAGGACAATACAATAAATTGTATTTCTAAACCAATATAGCATATGCAAAATATTTGAGATTCAAAGAAAGTACATTAAAATATGTTTAATTCTCCTTAATTTAGAATTTAGAAGTGTTGACTGTATAATTATTTTTTTTCTCTTTAAGAATTTAACCTTTATTTTATTTATTTGTTTTTATGTGGTGCTAAGGCTCAAACCCTGGGCCTTACCTGTGCTAGGCAAGCACTGTACTACTGAGCTACAACCTCAGCCCTGAATGTGTAATTCTTGACTCCTGTTGTAAATGAAATATGCCCCAATAAGTGATAAAATGTGTTTGTTTGCAGTATGCCTTCAACTGTGCTTAGAGAAGGGAAAGTACCAAAGGTAGATGGAATCCGGAACCATCTCCAGTTCTTGGGAAAATATAGATCTAGGGTAGAGTGAAAAATGGACAGAGTAGAAAGTCAATTATTGGCAACTGATTGGAGCATGGGAAGTAGGTGGCAAAAGAAAGAAATGTATTCCGCTTTTCTTAAGTCCTTGAATTAAACCCTTTCATGGGGAAGGAGATATCTCCCTCTTCAAATAGAGACATTGTATTGGAACATCCATTTTAATTGAGGAAGACTGTATGTACAAACACACTTGGAGAAGAAGATTCCTTGTTCCATGGAAATTCAGTCACCCATGAGCACAAGGTACTCTATCCACAACAGTTCTACTTTAGCCATAGTTTGCAACTTGTCTAAAAAATAATTTTTTAAATATTATTTTAGTTGTCAGTGTACCTTTATTTTATTTATTTTTATGTGGTGCTGAGAATCAAACCCAGTGCGTCACACATGCTAGACAAGCACTCTACCCCTGAGCTACAACCCCAGCCCTATAAAATAATTTTTTAAAGTTCAGAGGTATTTAAGTCAGCTTTTTTGCTGCTGTGACCAAAAGACCTGACAAGAGCAATTTTAGAGGAGGAAAACTTTATTTGGGGCTCACCATTTTAGAGGTCTCAGTCCATGGATGGCTGACTTGATTGCAGTAGGCTGAGGTAAAGCAGAACTTTGTGGCAAAAGGTGTGGGGGAGGAAAGCAGCTTAGACATGGCAAATAAGAAGCAAAGGCAGCTCTTGGGACAAAATATATTCCCCAAAGGCATGCCCCCAGTGATATACCTCCTCCAGCCACACCCTACTTGCCTACAGTTAACCCCAGTTAATCCATTCAAGTGGATTAGTAGACCAGTGAAGTTAAGGTTCATTGTTTTACCTCTAAACTTTCTTGCATTGTCTCACACTTGAGGTTTTGGGCAACACCTCATGTGTAAACCATAACAAGAGGGAAAGAAAGACAAATGAACCCTTTTGCTTTTTTATTAGCTGGAGATTAACAAAATTTAAAAATTGGGGAAAGGATCTGAGCAGATATTTTTCAAAAGAAGATATAAAAATAGCAGATAAACACTTGGAAAAAGTTCAATGTAATTAGCCATCAGGAAAATGCAAATCAGCAGACTGTGAGATTCCACCTCATACCTACTAGTATGCTTTGATCATAAACACAGGTAACAAGTATCAATGAGAAGGTAAAGACACTGGAAACTTTGCATCCTTAATGAGAATGTGAAAAAATGCAGCTATTGTGGAAAACAGTATGGATGGCAGGTCCTCAAAAGATTATGCATACAGTATCATATAACCCAGGATTCCTAAATACATAACCAAGAGAAAGGAAAACACATGCCCACACAATAACTTGTAATATAAAAATTTATACTAGCATTATTCGTAACAGGTTAAAAAAAAGGAAGTAACCTTTTTCTAGCACCGAATGAACAGGTAAATAAAATGTAACATATCCACGTGACAGAGTATTACTTGTCCATAAAAAAGAAAAAAGTGAGCCAGGTGTGGTGTGCACTCCTGTAATCCCAGCTATTTGGAATGTTGAAGCAGGAGGATGACAAGTTTGAGGCCTGCCTTGGCAATTTAGAATTGCCCTGTCTCAAAATAAAAAGCTTTTTTTAAAGGGTGGGGAGCTGGGGATATATCTCATGGCTAGTGCCTCTGAGTTCAATCCCCAGCATTGCAAAAAAGAAAAGAAAGGAATAAAGTTCATGTTTATGTTACAACATGAATGAACCCTGCAAACTTGTACAAAAGGAAGGAAGCTAGTCAATAAATATTATATACTTCCATTTATATGAACTGTCCAGAGTAAGAGAATTCATAGAGGCAAAAATATTAATGGTTACCTGGTCTCACAGGAGTGGGAGAGCTGAGTTAGCAGGTGAAGTGACTGCAAATGGGTATGGGATTTCTTCATTATCTGTATACACTAAATAGATGAATTATATATTATGTGAATTATTATCTCAATAAAATATTATTTTAAATATATCAAGAGTAATAAGTGTTGACAAGGATGCAGAGCAAAGGGAACTCTTGTACATTGTTGGTGGGAATATAAATTAGGACAGCCATTATGGAAAATGGCATGGAGATTCTTCAAAAAACTAAAAATATAACTACTATTTGATTGAGTAATCTCTCTTCTGGGTCTATACTCAAAGGAAGTGAAATCTTACTCATATCAAAGAGATATCTTCATGCCCATGTTCTTTGTGGCATTATTCACAATAGCCAAAGGTACAAAATCAATGTAAGTATCCATCAGCAGATGAATGGGTAAAGAAAATGTGTTATATATAGACAGTGGAATATTACTCAGTCTTAAAGGTGGAGGGTCTTGTCTTCTGTGACACATGGATGAATCTGGAGGACATTATGCTGACTGAAATGAGCCAGGTACAAAAAGACTAATACCAAAGTCTCTCATATATTAAGAAGCTAAATATGTTGAACTCATAGAAGGAGTAGAATGAGTTACCAGATGGTGGAAGCCAGGGAGGAAATGGGAAGTTGTTGATTAAAAGATAGCAAGTTTTAGATAGATAGGGAGATAGACAGGAAGGTATGTTTTAAGATCCATTGCACAACTATATTTAATAATAATGTATGTTTGCAAAAAATAACCAAGAATAGATTTTAGATGTCTCACTAAAAAAAATTATAGATAAATTAGGTAACGGATATGTTAATCAACTTGGCTTAATCATTCTACATTGTATATATGTATCAAAACATCATACCATACCACATAAATGTACATATAATTGTGACTTGTTAATCAAAAATAATATTGAAAA